ATGAGACACTGAGGCCCTGAGAATTCAGCAAGCCCTTTCATCCAGCTTCCATTCAGCTTTATAGAGGGTTATCTTGTATCTTACAAAGATCCTTTTAGACATCCTCAAGATGCTTAATGGAGAATCCCTAACTCTCACATTTTAATCAATTTTTTAATGTTTGTTTTAATTGAATTGCCACCAACTTGACCTACTTTTATTGCCCACCCTCCCACTGTCCCCTGTCCCTTAGGATCTCTGCCCTACTTCACACAGTCATTCCAAAGGCAAAAAAAAAAAAAAAAAAAAAAAAAAGAATGGTTTTGGAAGCTTTTAAAGTTGTAATTGCAACTACGCTTTATTTGAAAGATGTGCCACTGATGGTACTAGCACCCCTCCCTGCCCACTCCCACCCAGTGCTCCCCTAGGGACCCTACCAGTGTCAGGAGGTGAGCTCCAGAAAGGGTCATGGTTGTTCTTTAGAGCAAAGTGAAGTCCCAAAGTAGTCAGGCAATGAGGAAAAATCACCCAGCTGTCATGCCACAGGGTGACTGGAACAGGCTCCTCATTCCTGGTCCACAGGCCAGAGATGAGTGTCGTGTTAGTGGCTACCCCTAACAGCACGGGGTCCTGTGACTGTCGTGTACCACGTGCACATGCATACATACTTGCAAAGTCAAACAAATACAGCTTAATAAAGATGACCAAGGCCACCTCCTCCACCTCTGCAGGGTTGGGCTATTTGTAGTCATTCTTGTTTCTAGCCGTTGTGGAAAACAAACATCATTCTCATACAGTGGCCCAGGTCACTGTCTTTGGGAGCAAAAGTGTGATGCAGCCATATGTTCCCTGGGTATTCACTGAGTTCTCCTGGCACTAAGGGACCCTCATCCTCAGGCATGTAGAGCCCTGGAGAAAGCAGGCATGCAGTTTTCTGGGGTTCTTGGTGTGGAAATATAGGAGGCAGGGACAGGCTTGCTGCAACCCCAGTTGCTACCAGGAGGGGCATGTTCCCCACCATCTGATCTCAAGCAGGGTGGACCCACTGGGCAGGTGGTCCAAGAGCAGAGTTAGGGCCCCCTGCTTGGTGTTTCTTGGTGCTCCATTTGCAAATTTGAGGGACTCTATCAGGCACATGTTAACTACAATAGCTTTTGGACATAAAACATCCCCTTTTACGAAGCCCAAAGTGACGTTTTACAACCTGGAGAGTAGATCCAGAATCAAAGGATTTCATGACTGGAAAGTGCTAACTCTCTTGTTGCAGATGAGGAAACCGTGGTCCTCACAGGTTGTGGGAGTTGCACACAGTAAGTGGCAAAACCAGACTGGGGTATCCTGGTCTCTGGTTTTTCATACACTGTTTGCCATTCAAAGGAGATTGAGATATAACCTTGGGACTCCTCCTTCCCAACCCCATAGTCTTTCTATTCTGTCTCTGAGGCATACTCTAAGCATGCCCAAGGATTTACCCCACACCAACTTAAGCAATTAAAAATTTACTAAAGCACAAAATAGTGCAAAAATCATCAGTTCATAGTTAAACTCAGTTTTAAAGATATATACACCCATGCTCCATCATTTTCAGATCAATCTCCTGGTACAGCAGCCACCCTTTCTCTGGTGAACGAGGGAAAGTATCTGCTGATCAACACATGAAGTATTTGGGACTTCACCAGCAACTACCACTACCTAGATCAGGCTAAGAGCGTACTCCAGAAAACTCCCTTGTATTCTATCCCAGTCAGCCTCACTGAAGGTCACCACTATTCTGACCTCTTTCACCATAGCTACTTTCACCTGTTCTTGAACTTAATATGATGGGATCATACAGAATGTGTTCTTTTGTCAGAGAAGTTTTAAGATGTATTCTCAGTGCATTCTTCTGGGTGAGGGTGGGGGGTGCAGAGGGGGCCATTTTTTGGAACCTCATGGCAGTAAATAAAAATTGTAAAAATAAACAAGAATTACAAAAATAGGCCAGGCATGGTGGCTCACACCTGTAATCTCAGCACTTTGAGAGGCTGAGGTGGGAGGATCGTTTGAGCCCAGGAGTACAAATCCAGCCTGGGCAACATAGTGAGACCCAAGTCTACAGAATATAAAAATAAGTTAGCTGGGCATGGTGGCACATGCTTGTAGACCCACCTACTTGGGAGACTGAGGCAGGAGAATTACTTCAGACTGGGATCTTGGTCGAGGCTGCAATGAGCTGAGGTTGTGCCACTGCACTCCAGTCTGGGTGACAGAGCAAGACCTTGTCTCAAAAACAAAAACAAAAAGCAAAAAACAAAGAAATTGAAAAATAGCAGATGTTAGTTAAAACTGCAAATAGAATGGAAATTAGGAAATACTATCCACTTTATTTATTTATAATGTTTTAATACCTGAAAAGGGGTGAAATCTCAACACCTGTGGAAAGAAGGGGGAAGTAGGGAGTGAGATCTCAGTGCTTTTTAGGTCTTTGATAATTAAGCCTGTTTACAGGTCTTTAAATGACTTATGCTGCCCCACCTTACAGAACTGGTATGTTCTTAGAAGTTGCTTCTTCACTGGAGCTCTGTTCACCTGGTTTCCAAAGTCCTTCATCTCTTCAGCTATGATCTGCTCACCCTTTGCCTGGCTGCTGTGGGCCTGTCACTGGAGATGGGACCATATCCCAGGGGAGGCTCTAATGTCTGTTTAGCAGATGGGTGTCTCTTGGCCTTGCACTCATGGTAAAATTCTGTTCTGATTATCCAGGCTGCAGGCCACAGTAGAGCTGATGAAGTTAAGTATTGCACGGCAGGCATGATGAATAATTACAGTGGTACAATTATCTGCCACCCTCCCTCCACTTACTCTTTTTGGTTGCCTTAAACAGTGATGAGAGTGGAAAGGAGGAATTATTCTCAGTGAAGGATCTCAGCTTGCGTTTTCGTGCCAATATTATTATCAGTGGAAAAAGGGCTTTTGAAGAAGAGAAATGGGATGAGATTTCAATTGGTTCTTTGTGTTTCCAGGTAAGTTTTGGGAAGTTCTGTTATTCTCCTCCAGGGTTGTCAGTGAAGATTGACCTCAATCCCAGACCTGGATAGATGCAGGTGGGACTTCCTCCCTGTCCTTGTCTCTTAACTATAAAATCTTGGTGGGAGGTTATGTCACCTCAGCATTCTGAGACACCCCATGGAATAATCCATCTTTTATTTGCCAAGAAGATGGCAGCAGTCAGTTTCACATGAGCCACAGAAGGTGTGCCCCATCAGGGGGCTCTGTGCTACCTCTGTGCTGTTCAGTTTCGTGTGAGCCACAGAGGGTGTGCCCCATCAGAGGGCTCAGCACTGCCTCTGTGCTATCGTGATGTCTAGGCTTAAACTCGTTTTTTTTTTGGAATGCTTGCATCATGAGAATGTTGTCCTCCTGAAACTTGTTGGACTTTCTGGCAGTCTGGAGTTTGTGGAGGGAGGCCCAGAAGCCTGATGGTGCCTCTGTGCCCATGGCCATCCCTCCTCCACACGCTTCATCTTCTTCTGCCTTTGCTGGTAGCTGGGGAGGAGACTGTCAGAGGCAAAGCCAACAGGATGTCCTGTCTCCCTGGCTTTGGGCTCCCAAAACTTTTGCTGTGGGTTTCAAAGATATGAGAAAGAGGAGAAATGTCTTAGGCTAAAATCTGTCCTCCTCAGATGGTTGACAAGCCCCCATGAGATCCCATGCTGTCACTGTCTCTGAGTTCATCACCCCTTCCCTCTCTGCCTCTGTCACAGTGACCTCTCTGTTCCCCAAAGAGCCACCCTTCCTGCCTTAGCCCTTGCCATCCCTTCTGCCTGGCATATTGTCCAAGGGTCTCAGCTCAGATGTCACCTTCTTGGAAAGGATGCCCCTGACCTGCTGCAGGGTCATGTTCTGCTTATTCCTGCAGTGTGTAGGAGGGTGAGGCCAAGTCTGTTTTGTTTCCTGCTGTACCTCTCGGGCCTTGGACAACACTGGCCCAGAGTCAGTGCTCAATGAGTAATTGTTGAAGGAAGAAACAGACAGGAGAGGTAAAGAATATTGAAGGCCACAGAATGCACTCTGTTCTTTAGTGGGGGCTGAAATTATTTTTGTAATACAGACTGGGCATCCCTAATCCAAAAATCTGATATCTGAAATGCTCTAAAACCTAAATCTTTTTGAGCACTGACATGACGGTCAAAGGATATGACCAATGGAATATTTTAGATTTCATATCTTCAAATTAGGGGTGTTCAACTGGTAAGTATACCATAGATATATAATGTAAATATTCCAAAATTCAAAAAAAATCTCAAAATGTTTCTGGTTCTAAGCATTTTAGATGCTCACCCTGTAGTAATGTAATTAGGAAATACTCAACTCGTAGTAGTGTAATTAGCCGCTGGTAAAAACTGACTATGATGAGCTACCTTGCATTCAGGCTCTGCACTCAGAAGGAACAGCACTCTAACATCTAGGAAAGCAGTAAACAGTTATTTGAATCTTTCTTAAAGAATTTTAGAGATCTGGGGTGTAGGAAATAAATTGCATGGCACAACAAAATGTCCCAAGATGTTTTTGATGCATTTAACTCCCTAGACTTCCTCTTACCCTGGCGGTTGCTCCTTCTTGAAAAACAATTCCGTTATCTCCTATATTCTCTCTCACAAGCCCATCTCTGGCAGCAGCCCTCCTGCTGTTTCCCTTATCCCTCCATCCTTACTCTTTCTTACTTTCTATCCTGTGTCTCTGACACGTTTTTTTTAAAAAAATGCCTACTGGTACATATCCTGCCAGGCACAAAGTAGACACTAAATATACATTATTGGATAGGTGGAGAGTGGGAGGGAGGAAGAAAGGAAGAAAAGAAAAAAAAGAAAGAGGAAAGGGAAGAGGACCAGAACTGGGTTGACATCACTCTCAGAAACTTACCTGGCGGCAGTAGCACCTGTGCCTCTCCAGGTATCTGGAGATGTAAATACAAGGAAGACTCTTTAAGGAACCTTTCTGAGACAACTTAGCAGGCTTTACATTAAAATTAAAAAATTAAATTTTAATTTTTTGATTTTAATTAAAATGTAAAAATTAAAATGTGCATGCTCTTTGACTCAATAATTTCACTTGTAGAAATCTATCCTATAAAAATGCTAATACACGTATAAAAATAAGTATAAAAATACTTTTATCAGGCTGGGCAGCATAGCAAGACTCTGTCTCTGCAAAAAAAAAGAAAAAAGAAAAAGTAGCCAGGCATGGTGGTGTGCGCCTGTAGCCTCAGCTACTTGAGGTGGGAGGAGACCTCGAGCCTGTAGTGAGTCAAGATTGCCCGCTGTACTCTAGGCTGGGTCTCAGAGTGAGACCCTGTCAGTCAATCAATCAGTCAATCAATAATATCTATACACAGGAGTCCAGTGCAGGCATTAAAGAGTATAAGATATAGTTAATACTGTACCTTTCTTTTTTTTTTTTTTTTTTTCTGAGATAGGGTCTTACTCTGTTGTCCAGGCTGGAGTACAGTGGCACTATCTTGGCTCACTGCAACCTCCGCCTCCTGGGTTCAAGCAATCCTCCTTCTTCAGCCTCCTGTATAGCTGGGACTACAGTGCACGCCACCGCACCTAGCTAATTTTTAAATTTTTGGTAAAGATGGGGTTTAACTGTTGGCCAGGCTGGTTTCAAACTCCTGGGCTCAAGTGATCTGCTGGCCTCAGCCTCCCAGGGTTGGGATAATAGGCATGAGCCCCCACACCTGGCAATACTGTGCCTTTAAGAAAGTAAATGCTTGGATGGGCATGGTGGCTCATGCCTGTAATCCCAATATGTTAAGAGGCCAAGGCAGAAGGATTGCTTGAGCTCACGAGTTTGAGACCAGCCTGGGCAAAATAGCAAGATCTTATATCTACTGAATATTAAAAAATTAGCACAGGCATGGTGGTGCAGCCCTGTGGTCTCAGCTATTCAGGAGGCTGAGGTGGGATCATTGCTTGAGCCTGGGAAATGGAGGCTGCAGTGAGCTATGATGAAGCCACTGCCCTCCAACCTGGATGACAGAGCAAGACCCTGTCTCCCCTCCCCCCCGCTGCAAAAAGCAAATGCTCAAAAGATGTTTGTTGATGATAATACTCAGTGCTGAAGCAATTATAGTGAAACCAGCACCTCTCTTTTGGAAAACAATTTTTTACTGGGTGTTATCAAATCATAAATATTTTTATTCTCGTTGGCCTTATAATCTCATTTTGGGAGACTGATACTAAAAAATAAACAGGAAAGAGAGTTATGTGAATTAGGGCTTTATTACAAAATTATTGATCACAGGAAAGCACTAGAAACTATTCACATGGCTTCAAAGGAGAAGAGCTAAGTGTTTCAACCCATGGAATACCAGGCCATCCATTGTGAAAATTGCAAAATGCAAAGATGAGGTGGCTCTCTATGTCCTGATGTGGATGGATGTCCTTACATATTGCAGAGTAATTGAAAAAGAAACCCAAGTGGGCTCTGAGATCCCAGAAAGTGTGTTTCACACACAATATGCAGTTGTGTGTAGTTACATGCCACAGTCTGGGATGGTCTGGGATGGCTTGGATGTCTTAGGATGGCCTGGGACAGTCTGGGATGTCCTGAGATGGTCTGTAGCTACATGAGCGGCAACTGTCTCTGTGGATGGGGAGAGGAGAACCACTGCTGCTGAGTGCTTTCTCTTTTAATTCTTCATGCTTCTGTATTGATTTTTAATGAATATATATGCTACTAAACAAGTTTGTTTGTTTGTTTGTTTGTTTGTTTGTTTGTTTTTGAGACAGTCTCACTCTGTGGTCTAGCCTGGAGTGCAGTGGTGTGATCTCAGCTCACTGCAACCTCTGACTCCCAGGTTCAAGCAATTCTCCTGCCTCAGCCTCCTGAGTAGCTGGGATTACAGGTGCACACCACCATGCCTGGATAATTTTGTGTTTTTAGTAGAGACAGGGTTTGACCATGTTGGTCAGACTGGTCTAGAACTCCTGACCTTGTGATCTGCCCACCTTGGTGTCCCTAAGTTCTGGGATTACAGGTGTGAGCCACCGTGCCTGGCTGTAAACAAGTTTTTAAAATACTAGTTGTTAAGAATACCAGAAAAGAAGCTTTAAAATGATGATGATATAAGAAAATTGTTTTCTTTGCAGGGGGCCGGGTACAGTGACTCACACCTGTAATCCTAGCACTTTGGGAGACCAAGGTGGGCAGATCACCTGAGGTCAGGTGTTTGAGACCAGCTTGACCAATATGGTGAAACCCGATCTCTACTAAAAATATGAAAATTGTGTGGGCATGGTGGCAGGTGCCTGTAATCCCAGTTACTCAGGAGGCTGAGGTAGGAGAATCGCTTGAACCCAGGAGGTGGAGGTTGCAGGGAGCTACCTGGGTGACAACAGCGAAACTCCAGCCTGAGTGACAGAGTGAAACTGTCTCAAAAAAAAAAAAAAAAAAAGTAAAAGAAAATAGTGTCTGGAAAATGCCCTTTCTTCTGCTAGTTCGAGAAACTGTTCTAAGAGGGCTTTTCATGGAAGTGACGGGGTTTCTACAGAAGGTGTTGCCTGTTGGGTGACTGCTGGAGGCTGGGGCTGGTGTGAGCTGCAGGGCCCTGGCATCCTTTCTGCAGGAGCTTGGCCTACACATCAGCTGTTTTCTAGGCCAAGAGCTCAGAGGGTGCAGGAAAGTCGAGGGCACAGCTTTGTGGTATTACCAAAGCCTCGTTCCACAGCAGGGATCCTTGTGTATAAGGTGATAGTTTCTACTCTTGAGCATGACCAATTGCCAGTCCTGGGCTTGAGTCACTGTATCCCTGATATAGTTCTCATCCAATTCAGCCAAGGATCTAGGCGAGGAAATGAGGTCTGGAGGGGTCACAGGTTTGTCAAGTCCTTGGTAGAGCTCCTTTCCAGCATGTTCTGGATACTTAACGTGGCTGGGAATCTTGACTTTGGTACCACACGGAGCCCATATTTCCATTGGTTTGGTACCCAGCACCAGAATGTGAGTGTCAACCTGAAAAAAAAAAAAAATCAGAGCTTTGCACAGTGGCAGTATCAGAGCCAATGGGGTTTATCTGAGGTGTGATTATTGCTAATTGAAAACTTTTCCCAATTAAAAACAAACAAACAAAAAAACAAACTAAAATTTAAAACACACACCAGAAAAAAATGATCTTTTAATGTGTCGAATTTATTCAGGAGTAAGTAAAAAGGATTATAAAGTAGGATGCATAGCTATGGCAAGCCACAGGTGCACCTGAAGAGTAGGGGAAAGCTTTTATTGGCAAAAAGAAGTTTATACAAGCTGCTTGAAAACAAAGTTTATTGGTTCCTGAGGCTCAAAGCCAGAGTTGGCATCAGTTCATTGGTGGCGACGTTGTTACCAGGCAAATATTCTTTGAAGAGTGTCTTATCTGAACTGCTGCAGCCCTAAAGAATGTCTAGTGATAAACCCAGTCTAGAAATACGTCCATTCATGCAAGACATGGATCATGAAAAGCATGCAATGCATGAAGGACGTGGAGGAATTTCTTGTGGGATTATTTTAGAAAGTCCTTGAGACAGTTGTTATCTCAGAAATGCAAGCTTGAGCTCCCCTCCTTCGTGCTATTTGGGCTCCAGTTTCTTTGGGCCCGATGAGTGATTTTATCCTGGTATCTACAACTTTCACACCAGTAACAGGAACAGGCCAAGACACATCCAGATTAGGTAAGTGTTTCTAATTTCAGTGCATAATTTGTATTTGCTCATGAGTGAGCTGAGGAGAAAATTGTTATAAGAAAATCAAGTACCTTTGTACTTTTCACATGTGCAATAAAAGAAGTGTCTCATTACTGCTGAGCTGCATACTTTCTTTTTTATATTTATATTATGGGGGATTTTAAGTTCTACCAGACAGTATGACCTTTATTAAGAAGCTGCAACAGTATGTTTTAAGTATTGTGCATGTATGGCATGTAGGCATGGGTACATATGGATATATATATGTACCCATGCCTACATGCCATACATGCACAATACTTAAAATATACATATATTGAAAATAATTTTGTTTCCTGCTTATTGCAATTATAAAAAATATTTCCCCATTTTATTTAAAGGTCTTTATAGATTCCTTTTAATACCTGCATGATATAATTTTAACGCCTGCACCATATACATCATATATATGTAGCATGGTTTACTTAACCATTTCTCTCCACTGTATGACATTTATGATGTTAACAAGTTTTTCCTATTATGAATAATGTGAGGATCAATCTTTGAACATGACTGCGATTGGGCTTCTGATTCCTTTCTTAGGTTAGATTCCTAGACGTGAAGTTGCTGGGTCAGAGGGCACTGAGACATGAAAGTTTTCTCTGATGACCTTGCACTGCCTCTGCAACTTCCCCTCCCCCTCCCCCTCCCTTCCTTTTCTTCTCCTCCTTCTCCTCCTCCCCCCTCCCCCTCCCCCTCCCACCTCCCTCCCCCCTTTCTTCTTTCTTCTTTCTACTTTCTTCTTTCTTCTTTTGCTTTGTTGCCCAGGCTGGAGTGCAGTGGTGCTATCTCGGCTCACTGCTACCTCTGCCTTCCAGGTTCAAGTGATTCTCCTGCCTCAGCCTCCTGAGTAGCTGGGATTACAGGTGTGTAATTATCCAGGTGTGTCCAACACCTGGATACTTTTGTAGTTTTGGTAGAGACAGAGTTTTGCCATGTTGGCCAGACTGGTCCTGAACTCCTGGCCTCAAGTGATCAGCCTACTTCTGCCTATCAAAGTGCTGGGTTTACAAGCAAGAGCCACTGTGCCCGGCTTCCTGTGACTTTTTTCTTTTCCCAATTTGTCCTCCCAGTCACTGAGTGTTTTTCTTCCTCAAATCCATTCTCCAACATTTCTGGAAAATCATCAAGATTCTCAGTCCCTCTTTTCTTTCTCTGCAAAGCTCTTAAGCAGTGATCTGTCTTTTAGGTGACAAACAAGTGCAGATGATTCCCCCAGCAGAGGTGGTGAACAGGTGCTGCATCCTGGCTCTCCATAGTAAGGGGACTGGACATTTCTGCGTGATTCCTCCCTCTGAAGTGCAAGACTCTGGTCACTTTTGTGGCAACACTGTGTTTTCCCTTCTCACTTGCCAGGTTTTGGGGCCTTGTCACAGATGCCAGATGATTTGTATCGACCAGCAAACTGGGCAACGAAACCAGCATATTTTCCAAAAACTTTCTGAGAGTCGTGAAAGAAAGGTAAGTGTGATTTCAAAATATATCACCTGGTTTCTGATCCTGGTGTTATCAATATCAGAACTGTGTTCAAAATAGTACAGAGTAATTTTTTAAATGGGGGGACTTGCTGCATACCCAAAGCTGTTAGGCTACCATTAACCTACTTTGTAATTTGTAGTTCCATCTTATTTTTCCTTTCCATCCAAGTTCTCACTTTTTTTTTTATTTTACTACATGTATTTTTATGCTTTCAAATCTTGTTGAAAAGATAGAGAATATACAAATAAAAACAAGTAATTCTATTGTCTTGATCATTCTTTACCACTGAGATCTCAAGAGTAAAGTGCCTTACTATGAATAGAATAGCTGCATAGAAAGAATCAGTACATTTCATTAAACTGGAAATTCATTCATTATTCCTGGAAATTCATTTTCTTGAAGGTTAAAACAACTAAGTGTTGTTATAAATTCCAGATTATAAAAACTGAACTTCCAACATGTTGATTCTTTAGAAAGGTTTATTTTCAGGCTTATACTTTCTGTTACGACTTTTTGTTTACAAAGAATTCCAGGAAGCCAAGTAAAGCAGTCAGGCTACATAGAACAATTCTGGAAAATTAACAGAAATAATGCAAATATTGAATCTATTTCCAATAATAAGCTGGCAACTTAATTCATGGTAAACTGCTACATTGTTTCCTGTGTTTCTTCAAAACCAGGAAATATGTAACAGTGTAGATATTTGACTTATGTAAGTCTTACAATTACGGGATAGAAATAGCCTGCAGAGTGGTACATTTGACTGTTAAGCAGCCTGTCTGTCAGTGTAGGCTGCGTCATCTGGGGTGTGGTGACCCTGAGCCTGCACCATGCAGGTTGCCAGGAGAAGAAAGAAGGAGGCACAAATATAATACTAGGGTACATGAAAATAGTGTTTCTCAGCACCACTGTAGTTTTCATGGGTCTGAACTTTTTATTTTTAAATTTTGGAATAATTTTAGATTTACAAAACAGTTACAGTGAGGGTGCAGAGAGTGCACTCTTCACTCACATTTCTACAAATCTTAAGGAGTTAACTTGGCCCAATCCCCTAGCCTGGGGCCTGGAACATGAGGGTGTCCAACAGATGTTATCACAGGAACAGACAGACTGGGGAGCATGTCAGGTCCTCTGAAGAGTTCTTAGTGGCTCACTTGCATTGATGGTTAACATTAAGCAGACTTACCTACTCTTCATGTTGGAACTTCCACCCTTATTCAGGAGAATTTGACAAAATTAACTTGCATCATTCTTTCTCAAGGAAAATGCAGAGCTTTGCCATTATCTTCCCCAAAAGGCTTTTATACCAGGCAGCAAAGGGGAAATCGGCCTGGTGGTGGTCACAGGCTGAGAGTAGGAAGAAGGTCCTTCTGCAGCAAGTTCAGGACATGTGGGACAGAGATGTGCCTAGCAAGAAGAGGTGTAGGGTGACCACAGGGAAAGGATGGATGCCTTAGGATGAGAATCTTTGAGGTCTACAGTTAGGATTCTCCTCATGTCCCACTGCATTCTACTATGTAGCACATAGGACATATCAAGTCTCAGTACATGTCTTTAAAGATCTGAATTTTTTTTAAGTTAGACATTAATATTTACAAAGTTATTTTAACTGCTAAAATAATCTAGCCTTTTGTTGTTGTTGCTGTTTTGTTCACAGGTGAACTTTGGCATGTACCTGATGCACACATCACTGGATTTATCCTCCCCATGTTTCCTGTCTGTAGGATCTCAAGTGCTTCCTGTATTGAAAGAGAATGTGGAAGGCCACGATTTACCTGTATCTGAGAAACACCAGGATGTTACCTCCTAAAAAAAATTTTTTTTTAGCATACATTAAAGTTTCTCCTTTACAGTGATCTCTATTATTGTTAAGATCTGCAACTTGGTTCAGTAGAACTTGGTGTTTTGAATAAGAGGAGCCCTTTTCCTTTAGAGGCAGGGAATGCTCTTACCTGCTTCCTTCTGCCTTTGACTTCTCACCCTGCACATCTGCACTGGCTATGCTCAGGACAGCAGTTATGAGGCCTCAGGAATGAATGCTGCACCCACATCCAGTGAGACTCCCATAGGTATTTGAAGTATAATCATTTGTAATTAGATGAAATTTTTAATGAAGTTCACTGGGAAGATTGAACTTACTCCAGTCCCTAGTTTGGCATTTTCTCACATTGTTACTTTGTTTTTAGAGAGCATCTTTGATCTCTCCAATCCCTTTGTAGTGAGGAAGGGAGTCCATGCCCAATGATCCTGGATATGAGAAGATGATCCTGGATATGAGAAGATGCTCCTGTCCTCCCATGTACATGATGGTGTGGGTTTGTGCTCAGGGGCCCAGAGGGTGACAACATTCCTTGTGGGGAGTTTCTTCCAGGATATTTATGTTCTGAGCAAAGGCACAGGCCAGCAATTTCTTTCCTCTTACTTCCCATCCCTGGCTGCCATCTTCATCCCCCACTGAGCTGATGTACTTTTTTTTTTCTCAGCAGAGGACTTTATTGGTGGTCACCTGTGGCACAGGTTGGAGGAGCCAGAGGGCTATTTGTGGTGGGGGGACCACGAGCCCTGGCCCCGCCCTCTTGCTTACACACGAGCTTGAAGTTACACTCAAAGATGGTGGTGCTTATGCAGGTGGTCATCCTCTTCTCCACAAGCCCACAGGATGGTGTTGGTCCATCTACCGAAGAGCCTCCAAATCCCATCAAGGGAGGAACTTTGGCATTGAGGAATCCTGTCTGTACCATCTTTGACCACTGCTCCTGCAGCCTCCAGATGAAAATGTTCAGTGAGGAAAACTCATTCTCTAATGAAGTTACTCATCCCACTGAGTTTCTAAGAAGTTTCTCCCTGTGCTGAGCTTGCATGTGCCTTATCTGCTTCCCCATCACCTCCAGCCTTAGGTCTTACTGGAGCAATGCAGCGGGAGTACATCCACTCCACATCCATTCTGCCAGTGTCCTTCTGAAGCTTGCTGTCCATGTGTGAACCCAGACCCTTCAGCATCTTCCACCGGATTGTTGTATTTTTCCAGTCACTTCTCCCCCAGATGCCTGCCCACCACGGCCCACTGCGTCTTCTGAAAGGCTGTGCCACCCCATCTCTTCTGCTGCTCAGTTGGAGAGCAGGCGTCAGGCTCAGGCTTCCCTACCTCATCCGTTCAGAGCCAGTGGGACTCAGGGTCAGTTTGTTTCATTATCATTTGTGAGAGTTTATGTTGTTCTCAGCACTAGGTGGGATTTCAAAGATAAGCTGTGCTCTGTTCTCAAGGATGCTTGAGATGGAGCCTAATGATTGCACACTCACATGTTGTGCAGAGTTAAGGGTAAAAAGTACAACTCTGACTCAATGGTTCCTAAGATCAGTGAAAGAAGAGGCTAATGAGGTTAGGTTTGGGGTGAGGTGGGGTTTAATGTTTTGAGCTGTTTATTAAAAACACAACCTCTTTGAAGACTCAGCAGTACCGCATCATACAAGTGGTCTTGTCCTCATCAGCTAACAGATAGAAAACAGTGCCCTAAAGTAAAGGATTTATCCACCTGCTCAGGCCAGTTTCATGCAGGAGAAAACTTCCCAGATGGCACATTGCAGCATTTCCAAGACCTTTTGTTGACAAATGTGTCATATTAATTATGATGGAAAACAAGTCAGAAGACATGTTCTACAAAAATTGGCCAGGCATGGTGGCTCATGCCTGTAATCCCAGCACTTTGGGAGGCAGAGGTTGGAGTGAACCGAGATCCTGTCACTGCACTCCAGCCTGAGTGACAGAGTGCGATTCCATCTAAAAAAATAATAAATAATTAAATAAAAAATTAGAAGTAAACATTGAGCAAGAGAAAGTGCCAGCCTGCTAAGGTAACTTTTCTGTCCTTGTCACTAAGCCAAAGGCAGGTGGTTAAGAGAAGGGACCCACACTTAGTCTGAGAGATTTGTTATGTTGGTAGCAGGGTGGTGGTGTCTGGAACTTATGAATTGCATTTTCCTTTTAGCTTTTTCAGAAAGCAACTATTACAACTACTTATTACAACTACTAAACTTTGAGTTATTCTCACCTTTATTCAATATTTTAAAAAATTTATTAAACTTTAAGTTCTGGGGTACATGTGCAGAATGTGCAGGTTTGTTACATAGGTATACACGTGCCATGGTGGTTTGCTGCATCCATCACCCTGTCATCTACTTTAGCTATTTCTCCTAATGCTATCCCTCCCCAATCCTCCCACCCCCTGCTATCCCTCCCCTAGTCCCCACCCCCAAACAGGCCCCACTGTGTGATGTTCCCCTCCCTGTGTCCCTGTGTTCTCATTGATCAATACCCACTTATGAGTGAGAACATGTGGTGCTGGTTTTCTGTTCTTGTGTCAGTTTGCTGAGAATGATGGCTTTCAGCTTTATCCATGTTCCTGCAAAGGACATGAACTCATCCTTTTTTATGGCTGCGAAGTATTCCATGGTATATATATGCCATTTTTTCTTTATCTAGTCTATCACAGATGGGCATTTGGGTTGGTTCCAAGTCTTTGCTATTGTGAACAGTGCCACAATAAACATACGTATGCATGGGTCTTTATAATAGAATGATTTATAATCCTTTGGGTATGTACCCAGTATTGGGATTGCTGGGTCAAATGGTATTTCTCTTTCTAGATCCTTGAAGAATCACACCACTCTGTCGTCCACAATAGTTGAACTAATTTACACTCCCACCAACAGTGTAAAAGTGTTCCTATTTCTCCACATCCTCTCCAGCATCTGCTGTCTCTTGATTTTTTAATGATCATCATTCTGACTGGCGGAAGATGGTATCTCAATGTGGTTTTGATTTGCACTTCTCTAATGACCAGTGATGGTGAGCTTTTCTTCATATGTTTGTTGGCTGCATAAATGTCTTCTTTTGAGAAGTGTATGTTCATATCCTTTACCACTTTTTGATGGGGTTGTATTTTCTTATAAATTTGTTTAAGTTCTTTGTAGATTCTAGATATGAGCCCTTTGTTAGACGTGTAGATTGCAATTTTTTTTTCCCATTATGTTGGTTGCTGGTTCACTCTAATGATAGTTTCCTTTGCTGTGCAGAAGCTCTTAAGTTTAATTATATAGTATTTGTCTATTTTGGCTTTTGTTGCCATTGCTTTTGGTGTTTTGGTCATGAAGTCCTTGCCTACGCCTATGTCCTGAATGGTAGTGCCTAGGTTTTCTTCTAAGGTTTTTATGGTGTTAGGTCTTATGTTTAAACCTTTAATCCATCTTGAGTTAATTTTTGTATAAAGTGTAAGGAAGTGATCCAGTTTCAGCTTTCTGCATATGGCTAGCCAGTTTTCCCAACACCAATTATTAAATAAGGAATCCTTTCCCCATTGCTTGTTTTTGTCAGGGTTGTCAAAATCAGATGGATGTAGATGTGTGGTGTCATTTCTGAGGCCTCTGTTCTGTTCTATTGGTCTGTATCTCTGTTTTGGTACCAGTACCATGCTGTTTTGATTACTGTAGCCTTGTAGCATAGTTTGAAGTCAGGTAGTGTGATGCCTACAGCTTTGTTTGTGTGTGTGTGTGTGTGTGTGTGTGTGTGTGTGTGTTTTTGTTTTATGCTCAGGATTGTCTTGGCTATGTGGGCCCTTTTTTGGTTCCACATGAAGTTTAAGGTGTTTTTTTCCAATTCTGTGAAGAAATTCAATGGTAGCTTGATGGGGATAGCATTGAATCTATAAATTACTTTGGGCAGTATGACCGTTTTCACAATGTTGATTCTTCCTAACAATGAGTATGGAATGTTTTTCCATCTGTTTGTGTCCTCTCTTATTTTGTTGAGCAGCAGTTTGTAGTTCTCCTTGAAGAGGTCTTTCACATCCCTTGTTGGTTGTATTTCTAGGTATTTTATTCTCTTTGTAGCATTTGTGAATGGGAGTTCACTCATGATTTGGTTCGCTGTTTGTCTGTTATTGGTGTATAGGAATGCTTGTGATTTTTGCACATTGATTTTGTATCCTGAGACTTTGCTGAAGTTGCTTATCAGCTTAAGGAGATTCTGGGATGAGACAATGGGGTTTTCTAAATATACAAACATGTCGTTTACAAATAGAGACAATTTGACTTCCTCTTTACCTATTTGAATCTCTTTATTTCTGTCTCAGTCTCAGAGAGAGAAAACACAGAAAACAGGGAAAAGATAATGTTTGAGTTTTTAAGAAATAAGGAAAATCATGAATCCTCAACTTTAGAAAGCACAGTCCTGAGCATGATACATAAAAAGAAATCCATGATAGGCACAGCATAATGCAACCATAGAATCCCCAAAGACAAAGATGTATCTTAAGCTGCAGCCACAGCAAAGAGATAAATTCCTGCAAAGCCAACAATAGACCAGAAGACAGAATGTAGACTCTGTATAAAGTGCTGAGAGAAAAATCACAGTCCTTCTAGGATCTTCTGCTCAGTGAAGCTAAGCTATCAATCAGACAAGAACAAAGGGAAAACACAGATTTTCTTTTCTTTCTTTCTTTTTTTTTTTTTTTTTTTTTGAGAGAGAGGTTCTCACTCTGTCACCCAGGCTGGAGTGCAGTGGTGCGATCTCAGCTCACTGCAACCTCCATCTCCAGGGTTCAAGCAATTCTTCCACCTCAGCCTCCCAAGTAGCTGGGATTACAGGTGTGCACCAAGACTGCCAGCTAATTTTTGTATTTTTTGGTAGAGATGGAGTTTCACCATGTTGGCCAGGCTGGTCTTGAACTTCTGACCTCAAGCAATCTGCCTGCCTCGGCATCCCAAAGTGCTGGGATTACAGGCATGAGCCATTGAGCCCAGCCAAGATTTTTGAAAACTTAGATAGCTTACCTACAGTAGACCTTCTCTGAAAGAACTT